CGCCACGCGGCACGCCGGGTGCTCCTTCGGGAGTCAACGAAGAGTGCTCCCCAACCATGGTGGAGGCCTTAGCTGGAAAGCGGGGCGCTCAGAGACGGGCCCGACGCCGTGGCGGCGATTCAGCATTAAGGTTAGGGGGAAGAGAGTGGACCCCTCTCCCCTTGCCCCTGCCAGGTCCTCACAAGCCGCTCGCTCGAATGCGAGGTGGTTCCGCAATGCCATTTTGTGGCAGCAGCAACTCAGGCGACGTAAGAGGCGGAAGGTCGTGAATTCCCCGACCATACCGCCTTTACAGTACCAATCATGCATCAAGGTTGGAACTCTGAACGTGCAAGGATTCGCCGAAACCCTTAAGCTCAAATCTGCTCTGATTCTGATGCAAACACACAGCATTGACGTTTTGATGCTCACGGAAACACGATCGAACTCCTACTATTCCTATCAATCGGAAGGCTATATGGTTATTCTCTCAGGCAACAAGCAGGATCGGTATGCGGGCGTTGGAGCCATTGTGGCGCCACGCCTCAGACCACACCTCCTTGACGTTATTCAGGTGTCTTCGAGGATCATTCATCTTGCTTTTAAGATGCAGGGAGGAAACTTTCACACGGTCGGGGCCTACGCCCCACACTCAGGTTTGGACCTCGAGGCGATTCGTGAGCCTTTTTGGGAACAGCTCCAGGACCACGTTTCCAACATCCCACAGCCAGAGCCTGTTCTTGTTACGGGCGATTTCAATGTTAGGTTCCAGGCCAAACACCGTAATGATGGACACTGCCTTGGACCATTCGTGTATGGTAAGGGCCCCAGTTTCATTGACCATTCCGCCTCTTCGAACAGAACGCTTTGTAGATCTTTCATGCAACACCAGAACATGGTGGAAGCGGCTTCTTACAAGACACCAGATCTCTTGAAGCACATCACTTACAGGGATAAGGCGGCCCCGCCCTCAGATTGGTCACAGTTTGTTCTTGATCCGATCCCTTTGCAGCAAATCTACACGAAGCTTGAGGCACGGTTGGGAAAACTTGCGTTGGATGTTTCTTCTAAGGTACGTGCATACCTCACGAATGAGTCCCTGCTCCCCCCTCCGACCATACCGCCTCAGGTTGACCCGATCAGATTCCAAAGGCTGGATCACTGTTTTGTCCGCCACCAGTGGCTCAATGCAGTCAGAACTTGCAGATCCCTCCCCTTTTCAGGCTACCCCAGTGACCATTACCCACTGGTGACTGAGGTTCAAGTGAAGCTTGCCAAAAGAAGCACAGCAATCAGACCACACCGCCGCCTCAATCTCACCAAGGTGACCGATACAGAAAGAGAAGCCTGCAATGTTGCCTTGAGGAAACATCTCACGGGTGACACCGCCTCTCCCACCCCAGCTATACATATTTTCACAGACGGTTCAGGAACAGGCGGACGGTGCACAGCCAAATCACCGGCAGGATGGGGATTCTGTTACCGCACAGGAGAGGACTGGCACGATGCGTCCGGACCCGTGGTCACTTCTTCAGACCATCCCTGTTACGTTGGAGCTGAGGTCGGCTCCAATAACACGGGCGAGGTTACCGCTATTTTAGAAGCGGTTCTGCGTGCCATTGACCATTCCTTTCGCAGAATCGTCATTCACTCGGACAGCGCCTGAGCGATTAACTGTATTAAGGGTAAGTGGCGGCCCAAACGCCACAAGGCCCTCATCAATTACACCAGGTACTTGCTAAGGCTGCTGCCGTCCTATTCTCTGGAATGGATCAAGGCCCACGCCGGCCACGAAGGGAATGAACGCGCAGACGCCCTGGCCAATAGAGGGAAAACACAGGCCGCTCGGCAGGGTACCTCCTCTCAGTATCCTGATTCAGATCACACCGCTTCGGCGCAGATCTCAGAAACGACTTCTTTCGACCAGGCTCTTCAGTACGCCGCGAAAGAGGTTTTCGACGCCAAGAAGCTCACCGCTAGGAAGCCTTGGATTTCTGAGGAAACCCTCGAAAAGCTCTCTTCCGCTAGGGCCGCTGAAGCAAACTCAGACCACACCGCACGTCTCCTTTTTAACCAAGCGAAACGCTCCGCTAAAGAGGACAAAGTTAAGTGGATTCACGACCAGCTGCTGGCGGACCCTTCTTCCAATCATTCCACGGTTTGGCAGACTGTGAGGAGACAGAAGCAGGTGTTCAGAGGTCGGAAATCACACCTCATCGTGGCAGGTAAGCCGGTGCCCTGGACCAAAACACACGAGGCCTTTCGAGATCATTTGGAGAATAAGCAGTGGGCTAAGAACCCTAGGTCTGATGAGTTCGCGGCGCAGCTGACTCTCAGACCACACCTCTTTGATCAGTCTTCAGACCTGGGCCCATTTAGACTGGAGGAACTGCAACAGGCCCTTTCCCAAACTGCCAAAGGTAAAGCCCCAGGGCCAGATGGAATCGAAGCCGATCTTTTTAAACTTCTTGACCACACCTCGGAGCTTGCATTGCTTGATCTTTACAACCAGGCCAGGACCTCAGGATCAGGCCCGGAGACTTGGACAGAGGCCACGGTGGTGTCGATTTTCAAGGGTAAAGGAACCGACACGGACCCTGCAAATTATCGACCGATTTCTCTCCTCAATGCAAGTTATAAGATTTTCGCTGCGATGCTCAAGAATAGGATCTCGGTGCATTGTGAAAACAAGCTTAGGCAAACCCAATTCGGGTTCAGACCACACCGCGGCACAAAGCACCCCCTCTTCATAATGAGGCATAGCATGGAGTGGGCAACGATGACTGGTAGAGACCTTCACCTCCTTTTCCTTGATTGGAAGCAGGCCTTCGACTCAGTAGACCACCAATCAATGATGATTGCGCTAAGGCGTTTCGGGCTCCACCCTGCGGAGCTTGATCTTATCAGATCGTTTTACGCCGCGGCAACCTTTGGCACCCAAGGTTTCTCAGACCACACCGCCAAAGGCGCTTTTAGCGCGGGTATCAGGCAAGGCTGCCTGCTGAGCCCATACCTGTTTATCATCGTTCTTTCGGTAATCCTTCATGACGTCGACGACGCTCTGCTCAGGAAGGGCGTGCCCACTAACGTCTGGTCTGTCAATCACCCGTTTTTCGATCTGGAGTATGCAGACGACACCTTGCTTTTCTCCCTGACCACACCGCAAGGACAAAGCATGCTCCATGCTCTTGAGTCGGAGGCGTCACTGTATGGCATGTCCCTCAATCAAAGCAAAACTGAATTGTTGACCAACCCTGCTTTTCCCGAACCCAAGTGGATTTTCCTTAACGGTGATCCTGTTCCCACCACTGAGGTCGTCAAGTATCTTGGTTCCCACGTTTCGTGGACTAAGGCTTTCGACACGGCGTTCTCCCACAGGAGAGCGCTTGCGGAAGAAGCTTACAAGAAACTAAGGTTGGTTTGGAACAGCTCGCTTCCCAGAAACGAAAAGCTGAAAATCTTCCAGGCAGTTTTCATCCCCACTTTGATCTACGGTCTGGACAGCCTTACTTTGACCACACCGCATCTGAAACGCATCGACGCTTTCTACATTCGTTTTCTCAGAAGGATCGTAGGGATCAAGGCCTCCTTTTACTCTCGAGTTCCAAACACTGAGGTCTGGGAGACAGCGGGCAAGCCCCGTTTGCTCTCTGACTTTCTTCTTAAAGCTGAGGTTAAGTTCGTCGCTGAGGTCTTTGCTGCTGACCACACCTCTCCACTCTACACTGTCGTTTTTGTTGAACCTTACAAGGATAGGATTCAAGTCCACGGCAGAAGGAGAGGACATCAGATACCATATTGGCTCGAAGTTTTCTCTTGCAGACATTTCAAAGAGATCTGGCACCAAAAGATTGGTATCTTGGGCCCCAATCACAGATATGCTCTCATATCACACCGCCTGAGAAGCCTCCTTTTTCTGAGACGGCGCCAATGCGCGCATGTACGCGCGCACGGCCCTAGCAAAAATACAACCTCCCATACGTTGGAGAGGAATCAAGCATTGCAAAGAAGTAACAGGCACAGCCCCAGAATTCCCAGGCTTTGGCATCAGCTTCACGAAGGATGTTAGCCAGCCCGTCTTGCCTCGCCGCAAACAAAAAGACATGGGAGCAGGGACGGGAGCGCGGGGCAGTGGGGGTGGGCGGGGGGAATGAGGTGGGGAACATGGAATCCCTGTGCGAACCACTGCCCGTTTCGGCCGGGGCCGAGGCGAATTGTTTGTCTCCTTGTCGATGCTTCTGCCGTTCTGCAGCTCAAGCAAAGCACCTGCATGAGTCTGAGCCACGCCGTGTGATGGGCCTCCGTTTCCGGTAATGGCTCTGGGTCGCTCCTCGGTGAGCATTGAGCTTATGAGGCACTTCGTCAAGACTGACTGTCGGCAAATGCTTTTTTTGGTGTTTGCAGGAGTGCTTGGCGCGTTGATAACGGCAACGTCTTTCCTTCTGTGCACCACCTCCGTGTGCGACGAGGAAGACGCAGGCGTCCGGACATCGAAAGCGGCAAATCATGAGTCATCACTAATCATCACTGCCTCCCTTTGCAGGTGCCCTCCTACAACTGAAGGAAGCTTCCAGACCTGACGCTATGGATGGTTACCCATCATGCAGACAGCGGATTCCGGCGTCATACTGGTTGTGATTTTGCTGTGACTCGAGGCCCCGAAGGGATCGACCAGCGCCTTCTCGCTTCGTGGCTCCTTGTAACGAGGCCAGGAAGAAAGGTGTTGTTTGGGTCTGAGTTCAGAGCCTTACTGGGTTTAGATCTTGACAGGACTTGGAGCCAATACCGGCCGCACAAGGAAGCGACCCTGAGCATGATGGACCCTTGGCTTAAAGGCAGCCAGCATGACATCAAGCCCCATGACATGGCAGTCACAAAGGAGTCCAATGAGACCATCATGGCCTGGGCCTCAGGCTGGATCACTGCAGGAAATGGCTGCTTTAGGCTGAAGATAGTTCTAGAATTTCTGACTTCGGCAGCCACACCTCCTGCAAGAAACGGCTGCTACTGCTACTGCTACTGCTACTGCTACGTCTACTGTGCTATTGTTTCGTACACGTTGTATCGTTGGCACTACTTTTCCACCGAGGCCCGGTACCTCCACGGTTCTTTTGACGAGGCCGGGCATTGCTTGGATTTGGTCGAATCACGGCACAGACGCACATCTTCAACGCTCACTGTTCGGCATAGGGGTTGGTGGGGGGGAGTGGAGGGGTGGGGGGCAGCGAGCTTGAATTGTTGAAGTCGGAGGGAGCATTGATTGTCTAACGTTTCTTTTTCGAATCACGCTTAGGAGCGTATCGCTAAGAGGTTTTGTGTGCTTGGCAGGCGAAGGGTTGTGTACTGAAACTCTGAACGAATTGCCCGGGAAGGTTCAGGAGCGTCATCCCACGGACCTGATGTGGATGACCATGATTCCCTGTGCGGTGGTTGGTGTTGCAGCCTATCTGCATTTCAATACCTGCATTGACTGCATTGCTGCTCGACGACTGCACTTCTTGCAACTGTGCCATGTAAACCCGAGGCTGTAGCCGCTGCAGCAACGACAATGATGATGCAACACTTCGCTCAACCAGGCCAGGCTTGCAGAGCGAGCGAGAGTCAGATCCTCGACTAGGAGTAACTTGCACTTAAGTCACCTGCGAGTCCAAGCGCAAGGCCAAGCCAAGCCACTCAAAGCCAACAGCCGCACTTGTCAGAAGAAGTCACGCCCCTTGTCCTCGACAAAGCCGGCGAGGAAACAGAGGTTGACAAATCGACTGGAGGCTTGGGTGCATGCAAAACCCCACATAGCTTATGCATCGCCCTTAGTGTGTGTTTAGAGTACAGTAGGACTTTCGTGGCACAACTGAACCCGGCTTTCGGATTCCGTTTGGCATCAGCAGCCCCGAGTTGCGTTTGCTCTGCAAGACTTGCGTTGATGTTTTGACTGCTGTGGTTGCTTTCCGCGCTTTGGACATTCGAGAGTGCCCACTTTGCTATTCAGATTCTTCAGTATGATTGTCTTCAGAGGGACGTCTTAGTCTTTCATAACGTCATATCGAAGAGCCAGATGGTCAGGCATGAGCGAGATCCAGCTGATGTTCAACATAGTCAAGAACATCGTCGGGGAAGGCATGCTTAGCCTCCCTGCCGGAATTGCGGGTGGAACAGGCGCGCCCCAACCAGGACAGATGTGCATCACAGCTCTGAGCCCTTCCCTGTGTCCACAGGTCTGTTGGCCAGAACCTTGGGCATCCTGCGATGTCCTTACACACAGCAACTGTCCTGAGCACGTATGAATTCCGAGGTGGGCAGCATGATTGCCGTTCTCTTCAGCGTGCTCATGGGCTACACTTTTTCTATCATGGGCCGCACCTGCTTTGCTACAGGCCACTTACAGCATGCCCCTTGTAGCATGCTCAACATGCCGATTTGCCGCCAGGTGAGGCGAGCCACAAGGACTGTGCAGCAAAAGTCTCAGGTCCTCGTCTGGCTCAGACCATGGCCGTTGTTCTCTTCATTAAGACCGCCTTCACGCGCCTTCGTCGCATGATCACGAGGCTGTTGAGCTCTGCATTCCACGCTCACGAGACAGTCCAGGTGTTTGACCTTTGCTATTGTTATCAGCGAGTCCTTTGCCAGAACACTGCAGCTCGGCATGACTCCACATGACTCATCACTTCACGAAGCAGCATCACTAGCCGCCCGGTCAGGGCGATGCTCTGCCCTGATTCTGCCTCCTGAGGCAGTACTTTGGTGTTGGTGGTTTTATGGCAACTTCCCAGGCGCCTGCATTAGTGAGAAGACACTCCGCAGCTGACGGCCTAGCGGCCCAGCGTCTTGGCCCTTGGAGTGCCTGTCAAAGGCTGCCTTGCTAACCCTCGGCATTTTCGTGTTGCTGCCTCTCTGCCTTCAGAAAGATCTTCGCGCCACAGCCCAAGATACGTCGCTCTGAGAGAGCGAAGGCGGCCCCAAGTGTCGCTGCAGGTCTTGTCATACACATCCATGGTCGGCTGCCTTGGACAGGTGCAAGCACTCTACGGCTGAGATTCGAGTGTATTCAGAGGAGTGTCTGGCAGGTGTGGGTCGTTTTCGTGATGCAAGTTCGATATGTGGATGGCTCATATAGACCCGGGGGTCGATTCTACGATCTCATCGCTGCAAAGGACCATCTCTGTTTGATCACTCCTTAACCTGTCTTTAAATCATGCAATGGGCTCAATTGGCTCGGAGTTGACTCGGTAATGAGGACAAGCCAGACTTCAGCGGGGGCGTGAGCTATTGGCAAAGCAGCGTCAGGACCTTGGGGCAGCCACTCTCGAATGCAAGTTAAGTGGCACATGCCCGAGCAAGTGAATGGATGTGCCTTTTCCGAGGCGGCAACTTTCGTGCTCATAGGCTCTCTGGCCACAGCCTACATTGCGCGCCTCCGTCGCCAGAAGGGTCTCTACTTTAGCAAGTATCCACATGCCTCGAAGGGTGTAGCGACAGTGAGGATCTCGGGTTGGCATCGCTGTGATGTCCGGCCAAGGCACTACAATGCGCCCAAGTTCTACTCGCAGCTCAAGGATGCGACGCCGCAGAAGTTCACCAAGGCATGAAGCCCGGATCCTTCTATTTGATCTCCGCTACGGAGCTGCGTGCGGAGACAATCCCAGGGGCGAGCCAAGTTGGGCCGTGTGAAACCTTGATCCTTGCAGGTGGTAGCAGGAGCATTCGGCTTCGCCCTGGTGGTGTACTTCTGGATCATGTCTGTGGGCTATTTGACTTTTGGCAAAGCCGCCGAGGGTTTGATCCTCAACAACTACTCTGAACAGGACGCCAGCAACAGCGAGACAGCATGAGACAACGAAGGGTAGCCTATACAGGATGGCCTCGCGACGGCTGCCAGGATCGCCATTAGTCTGGCACGGGCCCCACTTAAAGGATTCCTTCAAAGCCTTGGGAAACCTCTCTCCTCTCAGGCGGTGATCTTCGCCTTCCCCTTGGGCTTCACGGGCTTCAGGGACTCCATGATGTCCGTCTTCGACGTGCCACAGGAGCCAGCATCGCCTGAGCAAATCTTGAAGTTGTCGGATCCGGCAAGAGGAGAAGTTCGTTTCTGTGACGCTCCTCCTCTTGGGGGGCATCGTCCTGGCGGCCTGCTGCTTCCATGACCTGGGCCTGGTCTGAACCCCAAGCGCGCTGAGGGATCGCTGAGCGCTGTCCCAAAAACCATCAAAGACCCGTGTGGTGTTTTTGCGTTTTTGCGCCGTCCTCGCAGGTCAACAGCCTGGGTGGCGCCATCCTTGGGGCGCTGATCACGCCCTTCGGCTCAGCTTCAAGCGACGCGATTTCTGCTAGCGCAGTACTAGCTACTAGCGCCTCGGCGCTTCTTCGCAGGCTCATCTTCCCTGGCCTCCTGCTCTTCTATGCCGGCCACACACCGCCTCGTGCCCAGTTCTATGCAAGGTCGTCGGAACCGAGAGCCTGTGATGCATCCTTGCGTCGAGGGGCGTGACGGAGTTCGGAGAGTTGGAAGCGCGAGCGGGTTCCTTCGGCATCCTCGTGCTGGGATTCACTCTTTTAGTGTCCGGTCCTGAGTCGCAGTCATAGCTTTGAAAAATCGCGGACTTGAGTTGGGATGCAGCGTGCATTGTTGTCGATGATGTTAGCCATGGGCGGCCCCTAACTGCTCGCAAGGTTTGGATCTGTGGTAGTGGTAATCGCCAAGCTACATCCCGAAGCACTGCATCGCTGATCATGCCGATGATCGCTGACTTCGTCACTGTGTGTCTACTGACATGTTTCACTGCTTGCCCTGAAGTCATGGCGGCGCTGCCATCTGGGCGAAGCATGTACGTTGCCCCGTGCGGACAGTCGAAAAGCTTGGTGCAAAGATGCATGGCCCGGAGAGGTGAAAGATGGGTCGTGAGAACCCCGTGCAGGCCGAGCTACAACACATGCGCATGGAGAACACCCGCCTTCGTCTGCGGCTGGCAGAGGCTGGCCTTGGCCTCACGTCAGGAGCTCAACTCCTGGCGAAGCTTCCGAGATGTTGCGATGCTCCCCCTTTCTAGGCTAGACTCCGCAGCGACCGTCGAGGCCGAACGCACAGCAAACTCGAAAACCGTGGTATAGGCATAGTCCAGCATTGCTTTGCGTTTGTGCCCTGGCAGTCCTGACTCATTTCATGACTGTAAATCAGGGCCACACGCCCGCTGCCCTCGTAGAGATGTCCAAAGCTGCACCGCAGGCACCAGAGCCAACAAGGAAGTGTGCCGCGATGTCCTCGTTCCGGCTGCAGATGGACTGTGTGGCAACGAGGACTGGCGACCAGCCTCTTAACGCCGACACTGACAGCATGGACGCCAATGGAGAAGGCGTAGATTCGACAGAAGTATTGGCCGTGGTGTGGTCTTGTGGCAGGGCCAAGCCCTCCAGAGCTTAGTACACCCGTGCCGGACCTGCGAGGCGGTGTGGATTGTGTTCCTCACGTGCAGTCGTGGTTTTTTGCGCACCACACAGTGCCGAATGAAGATGAATAGAGAGGTGCTATGGCAGATTCACAAATCCTGGCGGGGCACCCAAGATTGGAAGTATCAACATCTGGGGGGTCGTCAGGGTCTTGGCAATCTTAGGAGCCTGTGTCCTTCGCGAAAGATCTCACGCTGGCGACTCGTTGACTTCATGAAGCTCAGATGTGAGCCATTGATTTCGAGGCCAGAAGTTGTCGAGGAGGTGCACAACCTGCGAAGCCCGCAAAGACCGCCGGCCTCCACAGATCCAGGTGCCCGCAAGCACGCAGTTTCCAAAGACCGTTGCGAACGGTGTCCATATACCAGGATTACTGATCCGTCAGTAGGATGCTGCTCACAGTTTGCGTCGAATTCGCTGAAATGGAATGACAGATCATAGTTCCCTGTACCTTTCCAGCAACTGTAGCTTCACCAAGCATGGCACCTCAGCGCAGCACCAATTCCGTGGCAGAGGCGACGTCGTCCTGGCGCTGGGGGCGCTCCTTCGCAAGTATGGGTTCGTGGGCCCAGTTCTGTGAAGCATCAGGCAGTTTAAGCACAGCGCGACGGTGAGACTGTGCTCGACACAGAAGTTGGGAGCTTCTGCTACGGCTGCTTGTGCAATGTTGTGGCTGATGGGCATATGGTCTCGACAGTGACCCTTTTTCATGCTCCAGCGGGTGCGGGCAAGAGCCAATCAGAGTCAGCCAAGTGCGGAGGTTACACGGTTTGCCGGTCAGTCAACATCGACAGGCCTCCCATCGCTTGAAGGGGTTTTGACACTTTCAGTCTAGAAGATGTAGTGTAGGCACCCGAAGCCGCGTGTCTTTCCGAACGACGGTGGATTTGCAGGTTGAGGCTGCCTGGACGGTGGCTGGCAGAACGCCCCGCTGGCATGGTTGGATATTAAGGGAGGAGATCAGGGATGGCTCGTGCAGGCACTCGAGAATTCAGTTCGACACTGCTCAGAGTCGGAAGTGCCCAGGCTCCTCCTTCGTCAAAAAGGCTGCGATCTCGAGGCTTCAGGCAAGTCGGGGCAGTGCACGGAGAGTACTGCGACTTAGCCATGCCCATCAGGCGATGGAGGCCAAAGTTGGGAGCTGCTGGAGGCGCTTTTCGTCCAAAATCTGGCGCAGCTCCAGGCCTCGTCGCTTATGGCTTGGGTTCTCCGGAGTTTTGGTGAGAAGAACGGCCTTCTTCTGGCACTGCATTCTCTTCTCATAGCTGTCATAGCCAGTCCTAAGCCCTGAGTTTTTGGCGCTGAATCCTTGAAGATTCCAACGGGAAGACTGCGAAACGCCTGAGCCCTAATCTTGAAGCCACAACCAACACAAGCTAGCACAACTCGGCTCGGGAGTTTCAGAGGACAAGGGGAATTTGAACTTGAAGAAATGCAGTCCTTGCCTAACACGATGAAGCAGTGAATGAAGAGCCTGCAGACGGAGGAATCACGGCTTTCAAAGATTCGCACCTTGCAGGCCTTGAAGCGTGACACAGATATTGTCGCGCGAGTGAGCGCTACTCCGGCCCAGGCCGGGTCAGCTGTTTCCTTGGAATGGGCTCATTGGGGCGGTACCCGAGTATATGAGCAAAGTTCATGCGGAACGGGGAGTAGATTCCGGTTTTAGGTCTTAGTCTTGCGTGCGTGATCTTCGTCCTGAATCCACTCGCTTTCTCGAAAAGCGCACAGAGCGAACACAGTGCCCTAGGCAGAGCCGGGCCATTCACAGGCTGGTCGTGTCCATGCGGGATGTTACCATGCAGCTTGAAGGAGTCCTTGTCGTGATCTTGCACTGAAGACCTCGTGCGGGTATGTAGTTAGTGAGCAGACACGAAGCTCAGTTGGTCCAGGCCAGGTCATCACGCAGGGCTCAGAGCTCTCAGGACTACGGGCGGCAGGCAGGCAAACCAATGGCAGCTGAAATTGGTCAAGACTTGCGGCTTTCAGACTTGATGGTGTGTTTGGAATGGCTTTGGCGGAAGAAGCAAAGCAGGTGGCTTCCGAAATTGCAAGCATCCATCGCGCGCTAGATTGAGCTGGCATTGGCCCCTAGACTTCTTACGTGCTGAACCTGGGCATCATTGGTTACCGCTCGAGTATCAATTTCCGCACGTTCACAAGGAAATCGTTGCACATCCCTGACCCCGTCGACTGCTGGAGGCACCGCGCCTTGCCGAACCCGTGACTGGCCCTGGTGGCTTGTCGTTGCCGGGATCTCGAGGAACGCCCGCTTGGAAGCAGGGAAGCACTGCAAATCTCGCTGAGGGAGCGGACGGAGGACGGCCTTCCGGCCGCGGCCTCGCTGTATCGCTGTGAAACCATCACGGAGGCGGCGGTTTTTTTGGAAAGGTCTGGCGGGCAGACGGCCTGCCCGCCTTCAACAACGCATTCCCCCAGTCCTTCGACGCCTTGTGGGGATCCCATCGCGCAAGCGAAGCAAGGTTGGTTTCCTTTCTCGGCCCTTGGCCAGGTCCGGGGCCTCCCAGTACTACTCGCAGCCGCCCTCCCAGAAAGAACGGAACGTGGGCCGAGAGATGGGCAGGGCAGGGCGGGCACAGCGCGTTTCTTTTCCAAGGTTTCGCGTTCGGGTTCCTACTGCCAGCTTCCCAGCCCGGCTCATCGATTGGATGAGCTTTGCCGCATTCGCCAACGGTCGGCGCACATTCTCGTTGAAAAAGTTGTCGAAGTCCAGGCATCGCAGTACGAAGCATCAGAGAGAAACTGAGAAGGCATCACATGCTTTGCAATTGGTGTTTGGCCGCAGTGTTTTGCAGAATTCGAGAAGATTCTTGGTGCAGATTGCGGCAGGTCAGATAATGCAGATCAAGGCTGGAAGCATGGAGTGAGCTAACGAGCAGCTGGCTGCACGACGGACAAACCGCAGCCTTGTCCTCAATTCCTCCACCCAAGCCCAGCTCCACTGGACCGTTGAAGAGCTTTCTGTGTCCGAGGTCAAGACCATTGCATCCAGACGGTCAGGAATCGGGTTCTGCGCTTTGCAAGAATCCGCAATGATTGTACCATTCACACCCCTCGCAAAGCGCATCGGACTGAAGCACTGCGATCCGTGCTGCAGCACCACCGGGGGACCGGGACTGGGCACGGCCAAAGTGCCGCCCAAAACGTCCCTGCCCGAATGAGACGTGTCGTGGCGCCTGGAAAAGTTCGGAAGAGTTCCGAAAGAATGTGCAGCAGGATAGCACATGATGGCCCGTGAGGATGACGAGTGCCCACGAATCGTTGCCGGAGCTGCAGCACCGAACTAAGACACGAGCCCTTGACCCGACCCGACTCCGCTGAATAGTTCTGAGGCTTTCCTGCTACCTGCGCGTCTACGCTGGCAGCCACCAGCCTTTTGCAGGACGGGTCGCGTCTGCAGATGGACGTGGACGTGTGTGAGCTCATGACGTGAAGCATGTTTGAACGTATGTGCACGGATGTCTTAAGCTTATGGATGCACCTACACATTGGCAGGTGGCGAACTTCTCCTGGAACCCGTGGCTCTGCCGCCTGGCGGCTTTCCTGCAAGATCGTGTGCAGACGGCATTTCGTGTAGATAGATGGAAGAGGCACGCAGAGGCATCCTACGGGGGGCTGGAACAGTAAATCTGCACATGGTCGGCGCAGCGTTTTCGGTCTGTCAGGGGCGTCACATGTGTGCACTGGTTCCAGTAGCTGCGATGACAAGGTGAGGAGGAGCCCGAAATTGAAGTTCCGGAAGTGATGCGGTGTACCGTTGAGACGCAGACGGAGGCCCGATGCTGGGATAGGCAGTCTCGGAGAAGCAGATAGAAGCAGCGGCATAGGACTTCCAGAGAAGGCTGGGACATTGCACAGTTGCCCTAGGCACCAGAGGTGGCAAAGGACGTCAAGCCTCCGGCTGTAGCGCTCGGGGCAGGCTGAGTTCTCCGAGGCTGTCAGAGGGCTCTTGGGCCGTGGGGGCGGGGGGTTGCGCAAGGATTGAAGGCAGAGACGACAGCACCCAAAGTCTACAAGATGGAGGGCGAAGCGTGCGCCCGTTATGCCGCAAAGCTACATTCTGCATCTTGCACCGTCTTCGAAAGCAGGTTCTTCGCCGACGAGATTCAGCTTGCGCATGGCGGCGACGACCACGAAGAGGCCCGAAGAGGAGCAGGAGCTCCTCCAAGATCTGCAAACTCAGAGCTAGACGATGATTGCGGATATTGCGGCATACAAGCAAGCACAAGCCTGCGTCCTTGCCAGGCTCCGGCAACTCCACCAGTGGCCGAAGTGCAGGCACCACGATGAAAGCAGGTTGTGACAGACAGCAGCGTTGCTTTATCAGGCGGCCACCCCGAGCTCGCTGCCACTTGTGTCACAGCTGGTGCGCGAGCTGATGCAAATGCAGAGCACGGCTCAGCTGGCTGTCGGCGGCCGAATCCCAATTAGCAGAGCTGCGAGTTGAGGACTCGAAGTGTGGACGTGTGAGACGATGAGACGCCTCGAATCGGGAATCGTCTGCCTTCGAAGAGTCGGCCAAAGTGCCGGCAGGGCGGGGGCCCTCGGACAGTCGCGGGGTTGTACAGTCCGAAAGGGCCACATTGTAGTGTAGGATGCTTACCTGCATCCTTTGGCACAAAGTCCGACTCGGCAGTGGGAAGATGGCTGCTGGCTACAGTAGTGTACCAAACTTGCAGGATAATGTTAGAACATGTTAGAACTTATTCTGCTGCCGCAACTGCTTCGGGACTGGAAAGATTGAATCAAGTAATGTACCATGAGATCATGAGCAAGTGTGCTGATGGTCCCTACAGGACTTAGTTTTTTGCAAGCACCATTTCATCTGTGGACTACAGTTTGATTAGGATTAGGCTTGGGCAACCTGTTCACGGATTGTCTCGGAAAGAAATGGATGTCGAAGATCTGCGCCGCATCGGCTTGTTAAAGCATTGGGAGGCACTGGACCATATTGCCTCAGCACCGCTGTCGGCAGAGGATGTGGAGGATGTGCTGGAAGCGAACGATGATGTGACGCGCTCACGCTGGAGCCCCGAAGGGCTGGCAGAGCAGTTCCGACACGCGTTAAGGTCAAGTCAATTCACTACTCACTACTTTGGATGCTTTGTTTGACGGACAAGTTTCCTCCTCCTAGCAGTTGAATCGATATCCTCATAGCCCATAGCCATTGCCTTGCTTGATAGTCTATCCATCTCCTTAAGAGCACTTTGTTTACCTGGGGAGCCCGTGAATCTGCACAGAATCAAAAGCTTTGTCTTTTTGTGCATGGGCCGGGGCGTCTTGCCAGGCAGCTCCGCCTGCTGCCCGTAGCGGGCCTCTTTCCAGATCTCTGCGCAGAGGTGGTCGAGATTTTGGGGCGTTGGTACCAGCGCTTTAACCTGAAAACCTGGAGCCGCATCGTCAAGGTTTGCAAGGGTTCCGCCCACCAGGTGCCATGTGTGCTCAAAGAGTTGAACGAAAGCGCTCCTGTCATTCAGAAAGTGCGGAGATGGGTCGATTCCCTGCCAGCCACGGCCCCGAAGGCCTGTATCGTTGACTTGGGTGCAGGCTTCGGATTCCTGTCGATGCTCTTGGCCGAGCTGCTGCCTCCAGAGCGCGTGGCGAAGTTCTTCCTCCTTGACATGACATACCCCAACTTGGGAGTAGGAAACTCCAGCGGCTCCACCTCCATCGAACACCTTAAGGGGGGCTGGAAGATCCCCATGTACACTCTGAAGGTGGACCTCAAAAAGAAGACGACCCTCAACCAGCTTGCTGCCCGCGTCTTTCGCGCACCCGTCTCGGAGGAGGATCCTCGATGGGCGCCAGTGTATGCATGCGGCATCCACCTGTGCAATACACTGGGAATTCGTGCTGCGCAGCTCTTCAACGAGAACGTCGATGTCCGTGGTTTTGCTTTCGTCCCATGCTGCTTTCCGACGTCGCACCACCTCACGCAGGACGTCATTTACCAGCTGGGCGAACATCAGTTTGCAGCGAGAGACTTCCTGGATGCAAAAAAGATGCCCTCGAACAACGACCGCTTTTCTCGCTGGGCAGAGCACATCCTGGAGGGTATCGATCCCGGACCCAGTGGTTTCAAAGGCCTAGAACGGCACCGGCTTGTCCGGCCACGTCGGGGCATGTTCGCACAGGACATTTACATCTTCGCAGAGCGGCCGCTCGAGACCTTGCCCGGGTCGGCGAGGCCCTTGCCCGCCTTGCCCCGCTCGCTGCCTGGGATGGCCGACGAGCCCAGAGAGCAGCGGGGCAAGGCCGTGGTGATTTGGGCCAAGTATGGACACGGCAAAGCCCGAAAGCGCGAAGCCAGCGAAGCCGAAAAGCTGCAGCGTCAATCTTTGTCGGTTTTGAGGCTTGTGCTCTAGAACTAGATGATACCCACAATTACAGCAGTTTGCCACTGGCTCCCAGTGTTGAGAGCCTCGTTTTCCGACAGTCAGCAGCAAGGCTACTGCAGCTTGATGTAAGGTATATGTGAGTTTGCCTTGTTGGCAAAAGGCTACCTGACCGGAGCTACCTGACCTGAGCCGGTGCAATTCAGTCTTCCGACTCGAAGCAATGGAAGACCATGGAGACCACACCAAGGAGGGAGGGGAGGGGAAGGAATCGAATAGCGCCGCAGCGATCCTTTACCGACCCTTCCTGGCCTTCTCCATCTTTTCCCTGCCAGGCTTCCTACCAAGACATGGCAGCGCCTGGCGCCGGGCGTCAAGAACCGGGCCAACGTCCCGATGGCCGGCTCCAGATGCACGTGGAGGTCCATGCTCTCCGCGCGCTGGGCTCCAGTTCTGCTCCTGGTGTCCCGCGGACGCCACTTGATTGCATCTTCAAATTCCGTCACTTCTCCCCCTGGATGAAGTAAGATTAAGATGGAGGTAACGCAGGTACGGACATTTCAGTGCCAGTGATTCCAAGGTGCTTGGCGTCGTGTGAGTCGCCGCGCCCAGCCACAGATGAGAGCCACCCGGCTGCTTGCTGGATCTTGTGGCCTAGGCAGTCTTTGCATGGCTGTTGGGAGAAGCATTGAGTCGCAGGTTTTCGGCATCTCAGATGTGCCGGCACCTCATCGGTGTTTTTCACAGGTCGAGTGGACTTCCTTGGACAAGCACCGGGCTCTTAAGCAGTTGGAGGCATACAGACTGGGAGGAGAACTTCGACCACTTGGCGGCTTTGCCAGCGACCGACTTAGCCTGGCTATACGGCAACACCCGTGTCCGGCGTGGCATGTTCGGTCTTTCAGGTGGGGCCGTTCAAGCACGACGCGCTGCTGGTGGCCGGCGATGTCTCTCATGCTGACTACTGAACTCTGCCTGCTGTCTATGCCTGAAGTGCGAGACATGATTGGCCGCTCTTGCCGAGGACCTTGGCGTCTTGAAGAGAACCATGAGGCTTCTCTTGGGACGCTTTGCCCACGTTTTCTTTGTGTCGGAAGCTCTGCTTTTGTCAGCCGGGGCCTTCCTGAGCAGAGCATTCTGGCCCCAGCATACCGAGGCCTGGCAACCATGACGTCTATGTCGGTGTGACAGCTCAGCTCTGTACATCTTTCTGTCTGTCTGCAAAGGAGCATTGCGCCGAGGCAGCAGCAAGGACAGCAACTGCTCTCTGGAGAAACACGAGAGGCCGGTCAGACTTAGACGAAGGCCGACAGGATGAGAAAGGCCGCCGGCAAACGCAATCCGCAGGTTGTTGGATGAGTGCGCCCGCCTGGGAGCCGCGGCCAGAGAGAAGTTTCTTGGAGCAGTCGCGGGCATTGGCAGCTGAGCTACAAGGTTTGGACTCGTCCTGTCCGCTTTCCTTCCCAGAAACTGACAATTGTCCCGCTCCTCTCATGGTACCACGAGGTGCGCTGCAGCAGTTAGTTTGGTTCAACAGGCTTCTGCCGACCTTCCCTTCAACTGAGGAATTCGACTCGGAGCTGGCGCCTCGAGCCCATTCCCATCCGCATAGTTTTCCGATTCGGTCCGCCAAGGCCGGATGTCCCGGTGTGGTCCAAGGCTGCGGCGCGGAGACACAGCCGAATAGCGTCGGCCTGGCTCGCTTTTGACAGGCCAAGAGCAGCCTATTGCCAGCCGCAGAGCAGAGGAGAGAGCGGAGCTATACACGGTGCGAACGCGGGCGACTACGGTAGGCTGCTTGGGGACGAGATCGAGTGCCGCTGGCCGAGCCGACTCGGCGAGACGCCGGCCTCCGCCTCGGCGAAAACGGGAAGCTGCGCTCGCTCCGGCGCTTTGGCATGCGCTCGCGGCTCGTCGCAGGCGGAGCGCAACCGAAGCTTGGCCCAGTGCTTTGATGCTTGGGCCTTGGACGAGTCCTGACAGGCTTCTGCTTGAGCCATTGAGGGATTGTATGCACGTTGCTGGCAGCATCCACACGCCTGAGGCAGCAAACGACCAGCACGTGACGGAGAAGGCCCGAGTCGGAGCAGCTGCAAAATGCTGCAAATACAGCAAAAGGCGATGAACGGTGCGATCACTCGCCAGTCTCCTGTTATAAAATCTATTATAGGAGGCGTTCCTTGCGACCAGACGCGTACTTCCAAGCCGTCTTGTAAACAGGTGATTCAGCCTTCTTCTTCGAGCGTGAGCATGGAGATGGCCCTGTTCTCATGCACGATCTGCGCTGTGCTGTGCCCTTCGTACGGTAGAATACTCGAAGCTGCTGCTAGAAGTCCAATGCCAGACCTGTGAAGTGGACATCGGCATGAATTCCAAGATGCACCTGCAAATCATCCACTTGTTTATTGTTACGTGCTATATTCCCTCCCCGCACCTAGAACCTTGACACCAACGGAATCACTGCGAACTTCTCGGCTGCCAGCTGACAGTCCACCGCGAAAGACAATAAACCACTTACCAGTAGTAGTAGTCAAAACGCATCAAAACGCCAAAGTGGCTCCAAGTGCAGCGGAGGTGACTCATGCTGGCTTTGCTGCCTTTGCATGCGGTGCTTCAGAAGTCGGCAAAGGTGAGCTTCCAGGACGCGGTCGCGGCGAGGAGGCGTGGCGAACATGTCAGGAGCTCAGCAGGCTTGAGGCGAGGCACTTTCTTGGCTTTGGAGTTCCTGAGAAGCGTTCAAAAGTCCTAGAGTGCGTCATCAGGTGCTGTCGATGTCACACTTCTTGCCTCGGCTAGAGCTTTTGCCGGAAAAGTTGCGGGCTCAGGATATTCAGGGCTTTGACGTTGGGTCCCGACGTGAATCTTTTCGTGGAATGCCAACTTGAGGCGATTTCTCTACTTCCCGCAGTTGGCCAAAGCTTCCGGCTCGCTCTTTCTCGCAGATCGCTTGTCCCGGCTCAAGCCAACGCCGGGACCTCGATCCTTGTAAAACTTACGCCCCTCTGCCTCCGCTGACTCTGTCCATTGAAGTGCTCGCGATGCGATACAACCGCCGATTCAAGCACCAACCCAAGCATGTGCGAGTCAAGCACCAGCCGATTCAAGCATGAGCTTCAGCCCTCGACGTGTTAGGGTAGCATTGAAGGTTTTGAGGGTTGCAGCTTTCCTAGTATGCGCTGTCGGGTTTAGCACTAGGCTCTTGGGATTCTAGAGATTTAGTATGTCGGGTATGCCCAGGCAAGGAGAGCCGGAGTGTTTTGGATTTTAGGGTTTACGGCTGTGGGATGTTTACATTTTAGGGTTTAGGGATGTTTAGGGTTATCGGGTTGGGGGTCGTAAGATTCGGGCTTGGGGACTTAGAGACTTACTTAGGGTTGCTTGGATGTTTGGTATCTCAACAGATGTTCTGGCTCGTCCAAAAAAATGGCTTTACAAGGGGTTCAAGGGGCTCAAGTCCATGCTGGCTCAAGAGCATCCTAGCCCTAGTCCTGAGCCCCGAGCTATTGCCAGAACGCCGTAGTTCGGTCCAGCCGGACTGCCAAGATGAAGATCCCCGGTGCACATCCTGTCGGGTAGCGACTCTGGATGCCCGAGTGCGAATCTTCTAGGCCAGTGCGTGAAGCGTCCGCAGTTGAGAATCGAGCGCCCCCTTGCACGAATCCAGTGCACGGATCCGGTCTTCCAGTGCACGAAGCCTTTTTTCAACGCTACTGACCGACTTTGCCGCAGCTGTGTTTGATGTTGTCTTCTGCTGTGGCTGCCGCGAGTTGTGGGTAGAATGCTGCATGTTCCGAATCGTTTCCGAGGCTGCACCTTTTTGGCCACACGCACTTCGCATGGGACCAGACGCTGAAGGACTTCACAAAGAGTGTTGGGAAGAACATGCGAGAGCTTGGCATTTTTACCAATGTCCCCTCGTGTGAGCATGTCCCTGTCGCTCCAGGGTGTGCGTTTTCTCCAAGCCGCGCTGGGCTCACCATCAGAACGTCAGACACGGAAACGGGTCCTGCATCTGGAGGGCGGTGCCGGGAGCCCCAGATGAGAACAGGCGAGCGCCAGTACTCCGCAAATCAGACGTAGACTTCAGGTTCCCACGCTTCTCTGGTGCTGGCCTTGGGCAGAGGAATTGTGGTAATTTGTGGAATGAACTTCCCACCTGAACCTTGAAGGTCGACTGTGGCCTTACTAGTGCCATCCGCAGTGTAGTCACAGCCACTGTTACAGCTCACACATGGCTTCGGCCTAGCCTCGAACCTTGGAATCATTGACGAGATGCAGTGATAAAGCACAGTGTAAAGCACCTCATCGCTTCCAGATTCCACTGCGCTGGCGGTGAAGCATGTGTCATCGTGTGTACATCCATGGCCAGCAGGCGTGCTGGCGCTGAGGCGCGGTGCCAAGACGCCGCTGCCGGCGCCCAGAGCGGCACTCTGGTCAGACTACTATGCAGGGGGCTCGGAGTCTCGCAGGCCCAGAGGGTTTGAAGCCGAGGGGGCGGTGCAGTGGGTATTTCGGCTGTTTGATGAACTAGAGGTGGAACTAATTCGCCGGTTCCAGGCTCGGTACCGGCGGGCGCCGCGCAGCCCCGTGCCGGGACCGTGGCTTCGCTTTGGGCAGCGACCTTGGGCGGGGTTCGGGCAGGAACAGCGGCTCGGCTCATGTTCTGCTGTAAATGCTGCCCAGGCAGGACCTACAAAAGCAGGTTTATGACGGGTGTATGTGCATGCACAGGCACTTACTATACGCATACAGGACTGCTCCGGCTTGGCTCTGAGGCGGCGACGCAGGTCTCGGAGAGTGCAGAAGGCCCATGCATGCTTTTGGGGGCTCTCCTGTTTCGGGCGTTGGGCTGTAGACAAAGCAGCAGACTGGCTCCACTACAAAGGTTGATGCCACGAAGGACCGCACTGGAAGCGCTTGGCTCATCTCTTTCCGCCATGGGTGCCACGAGGCTATATACGCATGCATACACGCTCAGGTGCTACGGTGTGTCTCGTGTGGGATTTGGGCGAGGATCCAAAAGAGCAAATGGATCTGTTGAGTGAGGTGCCGAGATGTTTCAGGGCTGCAGGCTTTTGCCATGGCTCCAAGAGTACAATGCACCAGCTGCAGTACATCTGCCAAGTTTGCAATATCGAGACATGTGCATGCTTGAACTCGAATCACATCATTAGTCCGAGGATGCTTGGCCAAGTGGGCAAGGTTTCCCTGCAGCAACCCACCCTGATTTCCCGCATTCGTCGCAACTCGGTGTCGACTCTCGGAACTTGCGAAGATTTGAGCGAAGTCCGAGGTGCGGATGAGCGACATCGAGCTGAGAGTTTCAGCTCCGACGGTGCTCGGAAGAGATTCGCGGCTGCCTCAAATGGTCGCTTGAGCGGCCTCCAGGAGGAGAGTTTTGCCCCGGAGCGCTGAGGTTTGGATGCGAGCTTCCTTGCGATGCATGCTGGCGGAACGCTTGGGTGGCCTGGGGCAGTCGCCGTGAGTTCTTTGCCTTCCATCGCGGCCGTGACAGGTCTCGATGCAACGAGTATCAAGTTTCAGTATGGCATGCATGGCAAGCTGCGGCCTTAGCTCTGCACGGGTTGCATGATAGTTGTACCTGGGCAGTGGAACTGGGCTGGATCTAGGCCTTCTTTGGCAGCTCCTCTGGCTGCGCAGCGCTGCAGTTTCAGCGTGTCGCATTCTGGGGAGGCTGCCAAACAGACAGACCAAGAAATCCAGCTCTGCCTTTGTACATCCAAACGGAGCCACGCTGTGAACCTGCTAGATTTCGATCGTGTTCGTGCAAGCAACATCGGCAAAGGTGGGAGCGCTCCTTTTGTTTGTGCCCGAGCAGTCGGAGCCAGGATGTAATGCTGCCGAAACGGCCTTTGATGCGAAGCCATGTTGCGTCTTGGACCATGGAGGATGCCTGGCTGCGCCTGTCGGTATCGACCTCGAGCTGCATCGGCCCAGGCGAACTGTTCTCACGGTGGGAGGAGCCGTATAGAAATATGGCTTCAAGTCATGTCATGGTCAAAGGCCGTTCCGGAGACTGGCCGAACGCTTCTTCACATCTTCTGAGGTGGAGTCTTTGGATCAGGCTGCTCATGAGGGCTTCCCCAGTACAGGGGACGATAGGAATAGGGGCTATGCCTAGTGGAACCTTGCATTTTTGAGCAGGCATCCTCCGATCCTGCGAGGGGCCTACAGGAGATGGACAGCTCATGACAGCTCTTTTGGAAGTTCCCCCTTTCCATACCTTGCCTGAAACCTGAAGGGCTGCTTCGGGTCCTTAGGCTGACATGCTGCAACGCTTCTTCGAGATGTGGACAAAGAAGGAAGCGTGGTTAAAGTCTTTGGGCACTGGCCTGGCAGGCCCAATAAGTGCGAGTGTTCCACAATCGTAGCGCAGCAATCGCAGTGTTCAATGGTCAAGTGTTCGGACCTACAAGCGCTCAGCGTTGCCTTCAGTTGCCAGGGGGTCTTCACAACTTGGACTGCTCCGTGGCCGGCGATGTAGAAGCGATGATGCAGGCCGTATCAGGCCGTGGTATGCTTAATTCTACAATCTGGACGATTGATTGCACGAAGGCTGTCGACGGCTCTGACGCTTCCGAGCCTTCGAAGTACGTTGTGCAGCCGCCTCAGCCCTGCAGTGAAGTCTGCCTAAAGTCTTTCTGCCAGAGGTTCACAGTAGAGGGCCCCAGCTGCATGTCATGCAGCCCGAGTAGAAGGTTTGGCCGCGTTTCTTAGGTCCACATTGCGAGAGGTGCCCCTGAAGCAGCACAGTCCGGTTCTCGCGGGGTGATGGGCATGTGCAAGGCTTAAAGGAGCAAGGACAGCAGGAGTTTTTCCAAGCAGGTTGGGCGAGGCTTGAGACAGTAAGCAGTCTCAGTATAGCACCGCGGGTCGGTAAGCCAACCAATGGCTGCTGGGGCATAGGACACCGCAAGAGTCCATTTCGCTTTGGGGTTGAAGGTTCCAAGGCTGCTGTGACATCAGTCGTATTCTCCCGGCTTACCCTACATCCCACCCAGACCCAAAGTTTCCGTTGCGCTTCACAAGGGGCTGTGATCCTGGGACTTCGAGACTTTCCGTTGAGGGGATGCCTGGCAGTCTGGCAAGGCAGAACTTCTGCAGGCCTGCTTATGTCTGCTTCAACGCTCGTTAGCAGTTTCAAGCAACATCCTTCGCTCCGGACCGGTGCTTGACTGGCCCAAGGTTTATCCGTTGCCGTGCCATGTGGCACGCCGTTGCGCTTCGACAACATGTCGAAGGCGGATGCACTAGCAGAGTCACGGGTTTTGAAGCCAAAAGCTGTTGGACAGGTGGGCTGGCCACACATGCTTCGCACGTGCAGACCGGTGCATGTGGAAAATGGCTGCAGCTGGTTGGTTCTTTGGAATAGTCCGTCGTTTTCCAACCAGCTGCATGCAGAGCGCACGTCATCAAACATTGGTGACGCTTCATGTGCCTTTTCCAGTTACCGCATACTTTCTATTTTGAATGTGAGTAGTTCCTGTTCCAGGAAAGACTTCGGGCATCAGTGGCTTGTTGAAGGGAGCTTCAGGTACTGTCCTGCAGCGTCGTCGCAGATCGCAGTTTTGTGCACATCTTTTCCGTTGCAGCAACAAGAGACATGTGTGGATGTCGCAGAGACATGCGACCAACCGTTCCCAAACACTTCAATTTTGCTTTATGCAGGTTGACCATGCTTGTGTCGCATGGCGTTCTGGTCCAAACAAGCACGCGGCACGCCCCTCTTTGCGCTTTTTCGCATCTCTTTGCCTGGGACTCACAGGCTGCAGAGCTGTTCGCTTCTGATGTTCAGGTGCAGTGATATGACTGCAATGATTGCAAGGCATGTAAAAGAAGTGCGAGCATGTGCATGTGATTCGATTGGCGAGCTGAAGGTTTGGAACCATGGTGCGGTGCTCAATCATGAGCCTACATGTCAATTTGCACTTTTTATTGGCTTGAGGAGCAGATTGAGCTTCGCGAGGGTTTCGGAAATAGCCGCAAGATCTTGGAGGCCCCTGCCAAGCGCCCAGCTGCATCTACTGCCGGTGCGGCAGCAAAGAAGGCCAAGGCCCGACCGACCGCCATCAGGATCCGCTCATGGAGGAGGGTCCTTGATGATTGGCAGACAGGAAGCAAACGAACATGACAACGCAAGCGCTTCGCCATGCACACGCTTTGCTTGCAATCCTTTGGCAGGGCCCGGCCATCGGCAAAATGTGCAAGGACGCTCCGGGCCCCCATGGATGTTCAGGGAGCTGAGCGAAGCTGGGCAACAGACTTGTACTGTGAATGTGTGCTGCGCTCAGAGTTTGCATCTCATGCTCTTGTTTCCGCTGCTCGAAAAGAACGCGTGTTTCTACTTAGTGACAAGATTCGTCCCAAGCGCCCCCTTACGCAGTAGCTATATCAATCCAGTCACAGCAACTGGCAGCAGCCCTGCCCGACGAGAGCTGCTCAGAAAAGTGTGTGTCTGTGTGTACTGCATGCGATAGAAGAACGGAGCCATGGCAGACGGAGACGAGGCCCAGGTAATTGCTAGCCATGTGTTGTCTTCAGCTCCGCAATCCTGTGGCAGGTAGTTCCGCCAGATGTCTTGGCAAGGATCAGCGAGGCAGGAGAGCGCTTCGATAGATGCTTTCGACTCTGCAAGTCTTGTCATCGCAGGAGAACGAGCGATTAAAGCAAGAGGTCTTGAGTCTCAAGGCCTTTCCAATGTCGCGCGGAACGCTCCAGACCATAGCTGTTCGTGTCTTCGCCTTCGTCAGCAGTATTTCCGACCATGCGTGTCGCAGGAGAAGCATGAGAGGGAAAAACAGCGTCTGGAAATGCAGGCCGCATTGGCTGCTTGTGACTCAAAGCGCAAAGCAACGATCTCTGGATCAGGGTATGAGTTTCCATGCATGGCAGACACACTTGTCTGCGAGATGCTTCGAAGACCTTGAAAGGTTGCACGCAGAGCCCACAAAGTGGGCAAGGGCACTCTGTCCCACGGTTGCCGTTGCAGCAACACGGCCTGTGACCGTCGTGTGACAGGTTCGGGGCGAACGGTCCATCGCTGAGCGGGAGGCGGGCTGGGCTTTCAAAACCATTAGGCGGCTCCCATCTCACCATACTCGTACCTCTTCTCGCGAAAGGCCGAGCTGAACCGGGAGAAATCCTCGGAGTCATAGGCTTAGCGGGAATCCCTCCCTGCTCAGGGGGCAAACAGTATGCACAAGCGGCAAGATCGCTGTAACACCACTCGGAGCTCGCCTCCGACGATGTCATGCCCAAGCCAGTCACACTCAGTTTGGAAAAGATGAAGATGCAGATGGTCACGCTGACGCCCGGACCCTTACAGCTCTGGTTGTTTTACTCTTGCATCTAGAATCTAAAGCCTCGCAGTGATGATTTGTATAGCTGCGCTTATGGCAAGACTTGCAATCTGAAAGACCGGTGACAGTGTCCTCCATGTTGAGCTGGTAGGAGCGTGACAGGATCCAGGTCGCTGGTGTTCGATTTGCGGAGACGCAAAAAGCAAGTATCCGAACAACCAGACAGACAGGCCAATACAGAACCGAAACCTTCAACGTCTGTGGTTTCGAGCTGTTGGAAAGTGGAAAGCCTTTTTTCTTGAACCAGCATCACATGCTATCGCCACGGCCAAAACTCTCAAAGTCTCATTTCCAACCCTGTGCTGACCAGATCCTCGAAAGTCAAAGAATAAGAATGCAACTCACAAGTCTGTAAAGCAGAACAGAATAGAACAGACTCACAAAGTATGATTTTGCTAGCTCTTGCGAGGCGGAAACTGGACGACGAAGTCACGGCCAAAGATCAGGCAGCATTCGTTAAGCGTCACGGAATTCTGCACGTGTATCGTGTGTGTCCGAGAGAGGTGGTGGGCGAAACTCACCGCTTGGAGCGGAAGTTGCAGGATTTTCGGGGGTGCGGCTGAGCGCGCTCGCTGTGGGTCTCTCGCCTCTTTCTCCTGGCTCCAGAGCTAGCGGGATGCAACAAAGCATTTCAGACATACGCTGAAGCCTCGGATACAGTACCTTTGATGTGAGCGCACGAGGAGCTCTCCATGGGCAGCGAGTGCCTCAGATTTTGCAGTCTTCCCTGGAGAACATTGTCGCACGTGGTGTACGCGAGTCTCAAGTATTCAGGGTTTGCCCATGTTAAAAGGGCTTGCAGTATCCCGTCGGTGTTCTGATTTGCCGTATAGTTTGAGAGTAAAAGCTTCGGCAGGGCTCCGGACCGGCCGCAACAGTTCGGGACGTGTCGCCTCTCCAGACTTGCGAGGTGCCGCGGGCGGAACAGCCGCCAGCAGCTCAGTATTTTCCTATCGCATGAAGCCTTTAGCTTGGGTTCTTGACCGCTAGGTACTTGTAGACCTTTCAGCAGTATCCGTCCTTTGTTGCAAGGCCGGCGGCTCTGCTGGCGCCTCTGGAGAGGACTGCGAGCTGCAGTCATTGAACGCACAACATGAAAATGGAGCTACCGTCGCTGAGTTGTGGGCCTCCTTGCTTTTGCAGCCTTGCGAGAAAGAGATAAGAGCTTTGGCAGCGGCAGACGGGTTGCGTGCTGGTGTGCAGCGACGCTTGGGGTGTAGGTCCGGCCACGAAGTTTTGTTCCTTTTCATGCTCGTTCATCCCTAGGACTCGCCGGAGGCGCGGGTTCACTCAAAAACTGAATTCCACAGACTCACAAATTATGGACGGCAGACAGACATTCAGAGTCGGAATGCCATTGTGTGGCTGTGGATAGAATTTGCGCACTTCTTTGTGCAGGAAGAGAGATCGCGCCTTGGACTGCATTTGACAAGGAGCCGTTGTTTAATGGGCCCAGTGACTGGAGCGGAAGCGAACTGCACAGGGCGCCTGTTGCCGTGCTTTTGCTGTTGCCGGCCGGGCTGGGGCCTGGGTGCCCAGGCGGGAGAGGACTAGCCAGGTCTCCACGAAGCTGATGAGAGTGGCAGCCTCTGCCGTGAGTGCTTGATTCCAGGCACCGCTGACTCGCCTCGCCTCTCAGGTCGTGGACCAGTGGATGCGCTGCAAAGACATCCAGCAGGCCCGGAGCTGAGACGGAGAAGGAGAAGGCAGCTGCGGAAGCGCATTCCGCGGTGTTCTCGCTATGAGCCAAGGCGCTCCTTCGAGACGCAGCCATCAACGACTTGGCCTTTGCAACACTGGTGCGCGCCGCAGTGAAACGACCTCCTCTAGACAGCTCCTTGCGAGGGCCCTACACAAGCGCGAACCGGTCCTCAGGCACAGGCGCTTGTTGACTGCCCCTCGCTCCAGACCCTGGACTTGTCGCGAAATCTTCTGACCATGGACCGCGGGCATGATTCAGACGTGGATGTATGGTACACTCAAGCCAAATTAAGCTCTTGTACACTCTTGCAGGACTCTTGCTCGGACCTTTGTCAGCTCATCACGACTGCGCTGGTCTCTCAGTCGACGGAACAAGGGATCAGAGCTCCACACTTCAGTCGTGCGGCCGTTGCTTCGAATTCCGCAGAGTGTTCGATGTGTGCCCTGAATCTCGCAGCAAATGCAGGCCGTGCCTGTCGTTCATATCCCTGGCCGAGAACCTCCTAAGTCTTCGCTGTGTGGGAGCCTCGTGTGTGAAGCAATAGGTGCTTGCAGTGTACAATGGAAGGTCATGGTAGGTTGTGTTTTTGTGTCTTCTTTTAGGGTCCAGAAGCAGATGGGAAACTGCCTTTGAAGCGCTTGCGCTTCGCCTTGGGTGCCAGCTTTTGTTGATTTGGACTGCGACTCTGCCTGGGTCAACAGGAAGTCCGAACCCGACCTCGGCATTTTCTCCGTACCTTCCAATCTACTTCTGCAAATGTGTCTCTATTTGTGAACACTCCTCGCGAGTTTCTCAGTGTCGTGCCTTCTTGTGATGCCTATCCGCCTAGCCCCCAGATACTCGCTAAGGTAGGCTACTTCATGACCGCCATCATGGAGAGGCAGACCACAAAGAGGCGCCGATGTCGTGCACAAACGAGCATGACCGACCCATGTCTCCCGACACGCGGCTTGAGCAGCTTCATGCAGCTACTTCTTCATGCTGTTGCTGTGGTGTCGTGATCATTATATCTTCACTGAGCCCGGTTTGACAGGTTGGTGCCACTCGACCTCCTCGATCTGCAAGGCACAGCTTCAAGCTTGATTTGCCGAGTCGTTCAGCCGGTGCAGTTTTGTGTCTCCCTTCTAAGGCAACGAGGGGCTGCAGATGGCCCTAGCCCAGGCACCACCCCAGGACAGAGTGGTCGAGATGGCATCGAGTTTTATATCCTTGACACTCCATAGGCTTCAGCGCAAGCGGTCTAAGCAATTTGTCATGCATAAGTCGTCCAGCAAAAATTGCACTGCAAGTTTTTGCATGTATATGTTGAGGGGCGTTTTGAGCCTTTTTGAGGCTTTGCTCTTCACCCCTATCTCGTCCTGGTAGAAGGACGGTGACAGAGCAGGAGCCCAACACCCTCATCCCCGCTCAACCGTGAGGAAGAAGTGAACAGGCGGACCGAATGCAACAGTTTTCAGATGTTTTCAGCAACTTCGCTCATTCCGTGCATATGCTGCTTTTGTCTGCTGTTCATCGTTGTGCTGATGCTCGTTACGAAAGCAGCTGACGATTCACAGTCATCCTACGGCCTTCGGAATTTAAGCCAGTAGCTTGATTTTCGTTCACGCTTTTCTGCTGAATTGCTCTGAGAAGTCTTTCAGCAGCAGCAACCCTCTGAAGCGTTTCATACTAGAGGGGTAGATTGCACAAAGCCGTAGGATCTGTAGAGTAAAACTGTAAGTCAAAGCGGGGGCTCGGCGCAGCATGCTTGCCACATACTCACGATCGGCTCAGTTGTACTGCGGTGTTTGTATGGGATTTATCCAAACCGAGGGTCATGCCACGCTCCTCATTTTGGATGTTTCCTTGTTGCAATATCTTTCGACATTGCCGTCAAGGATAACGGATTTAACTGGTTTCGAGTCGACAGCTTCGATTTCACCCCAAGACATGCCGTTGAACACCGAACATGGGCTTTTGCTGAGACGCGACGCTGCACAGAATCATCGGGATGGGACCTGTTGCCGCTTTGGAGACCAGCTGATACCTGCTAGGCTGCTACACCAGAGCTTCTGTCAACGTCCTGTTGCACTCAGCGTCGATGCCGTCGCACAATTTTGTTCGGACGCCTCGGGCACAGGGCGTGAATGCAATCGAACGGCTTACATCCCCACACCTGGTTCATGAGCCAAGAGAAGCTGCGAACATCTCGAGAAGCTGCGAAAGGCAATGGCCTTCAGGCCGCCAACAACCCGAAACCATAAGTTGCGAGCCAGGAGCTCGTGGCGAAGCTCAGGGAGGCAGCTCAATCGCCGTTGACCCAGAGCCTGGTGACCAGGGTGTTGCTCCGTGTGGGCTGTTTGGCTAAGGCCTTCTGGCAAGGCTCTAACGTCTCCTCCTGCCATCGACCTTGCTGGGTTCACAGCCGCCTTGTGATGTCTTGTGCCTCACGCATGCATGCCACAATGACGAAGTTTTGTGTTCTGTCCAAGTAGGAGGTCCACCTGCAGCATGTCCTATGTCCGCAGCTCGTGCGGTGTGCTTCGAAGAGCATGGCCCAGGCCAGTCACGTGATGAGGTCGCTTTGGAATCGGCCTTGGGGAAGTGAAAGCCGAGAGCACAGCTGCATGTCTGAGCCTGAGCAGCTTATCCATGTTGAGGAGATTTCTTCACGACACACAGCATCCACAAGTGCCAGAGCCTTACCGGACGACGTCTTGATAGATTTGATAGGGAGCCGAAGGTCGAGAGGCAGTGCTTTGCGCGGCTCTTCCTCGGATTTCATCCGAGGAAGAACACAACTGTGGATGAGTATGCCTTTCAGAGCATGGACAAGGCGCAGTCAAGACTTGACTGCTGCAATGGGCAATGTTTGTCGTCTCAGAAGTTTTGAAAAGTTCCAGTCACATGAAGAGACTGCGACGGTGTTGGAAGGTCACCCTCCACAAAATGGACACTGCCCTCATGAAGATCCTCTTGTTGGCAGCTGCTCGGAAGATATCTTGGAAGCACCGCTGGTAGGGGTATTGACAATGCAAGAGTGCAGCATTGCAAAAAGGGGCATACGGAAATGAGCAGGTAGGGAAGCCGATGTTCCGCAGCCGTCAACGGTCCCAAGCCCTGTTGCTGTAGTTTATGCTCGATATCACCTTGGAAACGCGCCTGTTCCCTCCACTTTGCGTGCCAACACACCATATTTAGGCCCTGCAGCCTATCTTGTGGTGCGGAAGAGCGCCCTCCAGAACCCTACATGCACCGGGTGCAGGGTCCAGGGTGTAAAGAGTTCAGGACGGATGGTAGGATGAGATCAAGCCACCGCTTTTCACACATTTTCACCAACAAGAGGGCTTGCGTTTCGTGAGATACATTCGCAGAGCCTGTGATCAGAGGCTGACGAGACCTTCGGCAAGGTCGGAGAATGTGCCTTGAGACTTGTTTGAGAAGACTTTGCGCAGCGGCAACCTGCAGGAGGCGAAGGCTGTGACGGCGAACGTCGTTCTCCTGCCTGCGATGATATACCAGGCAAAGATTAATCGAGATTTTGTGTTAGTCCTCGACCTCGGCTGCCAGACGTGAGAGCTGAGGCACAGGCCGTGCGTCCCGACACCGTGGGTTCGGAACCCAGAGCTGCTCTCATGATGGGCCGTTTAAGTGTGCTGCTACTGTCCTCAGCCCAGTGCAAAGGATCGCAGTCGGCAAGCAACGCGCGGCGGAGTGTTCAGGCCCAAATGCACAAACAACAACGACCACATGCTTTCCATTGCGTTTATTCCGTCCGTGACCTGCGACCTTCACTAGTGGCCCGCTAGTGTGACCAGGAAGGCTCACCAGTAGCTGCAATGGCCAGGGACCGAGAGCTCGTTGTGCCCTCTTGCTCAGCGGAATAAGTCGCGAGCCTCAGCAAGAGTTCCCAAGGAGAAGACGAAGCTCAAGCAGCAGCCTTTGTGCAAAGATCCGCTCTGTACACACTCAGAGTGGCACAGTTTCCAGTGGTGCCTTTGCTTAGGCGGCAGCCGTCCCAGAAGAAGATGCAGAAGGTGGCATCGGAGCCACTCCAGGAGGAACCAAAGGCTCGTTTCTGCTTCGAGCTTGCTCAGCTCGCATTGCGTTTTTTGGCAGGTCTCTTCTGACCCCTTTGCCGACTTGAAGAGCGCCTTCGAGCCAGTGAAGGAGACCGTCGAGGGGTATTTTCACGGGGTCCTCCATGTCTGGCACAGCAAGGCAACATTTTCCTGCTGACATGGACTGGAGCTGTCTCAACTCATCTCCCGAATTTTTGTTAGTGATTGATTAGTGTTATGCCGTCCTAGTCCTGTTAACGTTGGATAGCCCCAACCAAGTCCTAAGCGGAAAGCCGGGTGCAACGGTAACTGAAGGATGCTTGTAAATGGTGAATAAAGTGGACATGAAGATGGCTAGCTCTGAACAGTGTAACACTTGTGGGAAAAATGTACATCCATTGTCACATTGTCACACTTTGTTCGCACTTTTCCCAGCCCCTCCAGCCCTTATCCTGGACTGCAGGAAAACTTGATATTCTCAACTTTTCCAGGCAAAGAGTGCATAGCAAAGTGTAAAAATATGCAGAGCAATGAATTAAAAGCGGAGGCTCCGTCCATGGTTCTCCAAATTCCAGTTTTGCTTTTTTTCTGCAGTCGCTCAACCCCTCCGTGTATGTTGATTCGCACGCTAATCACACTTTCCCGCCGTTGCTGTCGTAGGCTGAACGTTTACAGACTCATTTCATTCCCACTTTTGTTTATCAATTTTTTTGTACAAATAGTTTGGAGTCCTCCCAGGCCTAAGAGAGTGCGGAAATTCTGAAAGTGATTCCTTCACCTCGAGCCCTTTCAGGAGAAGGCAAAGTCCTTCAATCTGAAGCAGATCGTCAGCAGGCCGACTGCTGCCCTGATGTCGTCAGATCGTGATATATCCCGATACAGAAGCTGCCCGGCAAACGCGGATAGTCTATTTCAGTAAGGGATGATGTGTAAGTCTTCCGCCCTTGCAGGACCGGGACTGTCCTGATGAACATGCTGGAGCGGCTTCTCGAGAACACGGACATTGATGCTGTTGATGTTTCTTGCCGGCCCAAGGTCCATCTTCCAACTTGGAGTTTCTACCATGCTTAGCTCAGGTGGAGTCCAACATGACGCTGCTTGAGCTCCGGTCACAGTTTTTCTGATGTACAGCCGAAGAAGAGCCTGCACATGTAAATGGAGATGCTGTACCCACGGGGGGTGATGATAAGGGCCCAGGCCTTCGATCAGAGGTCGTCGGAATTGTATGCTCAGGTTCGCATGCACAACGGGCAATCTTGGCCAGTGGCCCAGTGCTGGAGGGTGCTTGACTACGCTGTAGGACAGGTCGTTAGCACGAGATTCACGCGGGACGACTGACTCTCTCTCTCTCTCTCTC